AACTATTCCAATCAATAGAAGAAGAGGGAATCCTCCCTAACTCATTTTATGGGGCCAACATCATCCTGATACCAAAGCCTGACAGAGATACAACAAAAAAAGAGAATTTTAGACCAATATCCCTGATGAACATCGATGCAAAAATCCTCAATAAAATACTGGCAAACCGAATCCAGCAGCACATCAAAAAGCTTATCCACCATGATCAAGTGGGCTTCATCCCTGGGATAGAAGGCTGGTTCAACATACGCAAATCAATGAATGTAATCCAGCATATAAACAGAACCAAAGACAAAAACCACATGATTATCTCAATAGAGGCAGAAAAGGCCTTTGACAAAATTCAACAGCCCTTCTTGCTAAAAACTTTCAATAAATTCGGTATTGATGGAATGTATCTCAAAATAATAAGAGTTATTTATGGCAAATCCACAGCCAATATCATACTGAATGGGCAAAAACTGGAAGTATTTTCTTTGGAAAACTGGCACAAGACAAGGATGCCCTCTCTCACCACTGCTATTCAACATAGTGTTGGAAGTTCTGGCTAGGGCAATCAAGCAAGAGAAAGAAATAAAGGGTATTCAGTTAGGAAAAGAGGAAGTCAAATTGTTACTGTTTGCAGATAACATGATTGTATATTTAGAAAACCCCATTGTCTCAGCCCAAAATCTCCTTAAGCTGATAAACAACTTCAGCAAAGTCTCAGGATACAAAATCAATGTGCAAAAATCACAAGCATTCTTATACACCAGTAACAGACAAACAGAGAGCCAAATCATGAATGAACTCCCATTCACAATAGCTTCAAAGAGAATAAAATACCTAGGAATCCAACTTACAAGGATGTAAAGGACCTCTTCAAGGAGAACTACAAACCACTGCTCAGTGAAATAAAAGAGGACACAAACAAATGGAAGAACATACCATGCTCATGGATAGGAAGAATCAATATTGTGAAAATGGCCATACTGCCCAAGGTAATTTACAGATTCAATGCCATCCCCATCAAGCTAACAATGACTTTCTTCACAGAATTGGAAAAAACTGCTTTAAAGTTCATGTGGAACCAAAAAAGAGCCCAAAACAATCCTAAGCTAAAAGAACAAAGCTGGAGGCATCACGCTACCTGACTTCAAACTGTACTACAAGGCTACAGTAACCAAAACAGCATGGTACTGGTACCAAAACAGAGATATAGACCAATGGAACAGAACAGAACCCTCAGAAATAATACCACACATCTACAGCCATCTGATCTTTGACAAACCTGACAAAAACAAGAACTGGGGAAAGGATTCCCTATTTAACAGCTAGTGCTGGGAAAATTGGCTAGCCATAAGTAGGAAGCTGAAACTGGATCCTTTCCTTACTCCTTATATGAAAATTAATTCAAGATGGATTAGAGACTTAAATGTTAGACCTAAATCCATAAAAACCCTAGAAGAAAACCTAGGTAACACCATTCAGGACATAGGCATGGGCAAGGACTTCATGTCTAAAACACCAAAAGCAAAGGCAACAAAAGCCAAAATTGACAAATGGGATCTAATTAAACTAAAGAGCTTCTGCACAGCAAGAGAAATTACTGTCAGAATGAACAGGCAACCTACAGAATGGGAGAACGTTTTTGCCATCTACTCATCTGACAAAGGGCTAATATCCAGAACCTATAAAGAACTCAATCAAATTTACAAGAAAAAAGCAAACAACCCCATCAAAAAGTGGGCAAAGGATATGAACAGACATTTCTCAAAAGAAGACATTCATACAGCCAACAGACGTACGAAAAAATGCTCATCATCACTCGCCATCAGAGAAATGCAAATCAAAACCACAATGAGATACCATCTCACACCAGTTAAAATGGCAATCATTAAAAAGTCAGGAAACAACAGGTGCTGGAGAGGGTGTGGAGAAATAGGAACACTTTTACACTGTTGGTGGGACTGTAAACTAGTTCAATCATTGTGGAAAACAGTGTGACAATTCCTCAAGGATCTAGAACTAGAAATACCATTTGACCCAGCCATCCCATTACTAGGGATATACCCAAAGGATTATGTCATGCTGCTATAAAGACACATGCACATATACATTTATTGTGGCACTATTCACAATAGCAAATACTTGGAATCAACCCAAATGTCCATCAATGACAGACTGGATTAAGAAAATGTGGCACATATACACCATGGAATACTATGCAGCCATTAAAAGGATGATTTCATGTCCTTTGTAGGGACATGGATGCAGCTGGAAACCATCATTCTCAGCAAACTATCACAAGAACAGAAAACCAAACACCGCATGTTCTCACTCATAGGTGGGAATTGAACAATGAGATCACTTGGACACAGGAAGGGGATCATCACACACTGGGTCCTATTGTGGGGAGTGGGGGGAAGGGATAGCATTAGGAGATATACCTAATGTAAATGCCAAGTTAATGGGTGCAGCACACCAACATGGCACATGTATACATATGCAACAAACCTGCACGTTGTGCACATGTACCCTAGAACTGAAAGTATGAAAAAAAAAAAAAAAAGCCAAAATTGACAAATGGAATCTAATTAAACTAAAGAGCTTCTGCACAGCAAAAAAAACTACCATCAGAGTGAACTGGCAACCTACAGGATAGGAGAAAATTTTTACAATCTACCCATCTGACAAAGGGCTAATATCCAGAATCTTAAAGTACTTAAACAAATTTACAAGAAAAAATCAACCCCATCAAAAAGTGGGCAAAGGATATGAACAGACAGTTCTCAAAAGAAGACATTTATGCATCCAACAGACACATGAAAAAATTATCATCATCACTTGCCATCAGAGAAATGCAAATCAAAACCACAATGAGATACCATCTCACACCAGTTAGAATGGCGATCATTAAAAAGTCAGGAAACAACAGGTGCTGGAGAGGGTGTGGAGAAATAGGAATGCTTATACACTATTGGTGGGAGTGTAAAGTAGTTCAACCATTGTGGAAGACAGTGTGGCGATTCCTCAAGGATCTAGTACTAGAAATACCATTTGACCCAGTGATCCCATTACTGGGTATATACCAAAAGGATTATAAATCCTGCTACTATAAAGACACATGCATACGTATGTTTCTTGTGGCAGTATTCATAACAGCAAAGACTTGGAACCAACCCAAACGTCCATCAGTGATAGACTGGATTAAGAAAATATGGCACATATACACCATGGAATACTATGCAGCCATAAAAAAGGATGAGTTCATGTCCTTTGTAGTGACATGGATGAAACTGGAAACCATCCTTCTGAGCAAACTATCACAAGGACAGAAAACCAAACACTGCATCTTCTCACTTATAGGTGAGAATTGAACAGTGAGAGACACAGGGCAGGGAACATTACACACTGGGGCCTGTCATTGGGGTGGGGGGATGGGAGAGGGATAGCATTAGGAGAAATACCTAATATAAATGACGAGTTAATGGTTGCAGCAAACCAACACAGCACATGTATACATATATAACAAACCTGCATGTTGTGCACATGTACCCTAGAACTTAAAGTATAATTTTAAAAAAGGCAAAAAAAAAAAAATCTAGATGAAGGTGGCCATAAACTTTGTCAGTTATACTACAATATCTAGAATAAAAAAGGTAGTAGACTGATCCACTGCACTTAATGTCATCAGAACTGTGTCCAGTGGAGGTATTTCCCTTAAAGAGGTATGTAAGAAACACTGAGTTTAATTAGAGTACAGTGATGAGAATGGGAAAGATCCATGATCATGTTATGTATAATGAGTGGTTAAATAAACAGAGACATTCTGCCCATAGGAACCATGGTTTTAAAAATGTTTAAAGCTGACTTCAATACTTGAGTAATTGTCCTTTGGAAGAGGACCTCTTTTGTCCCATGCAGCCGTAAGTGGTAGAATTTAAACAAAGAAGTGAAAGTTGTAAGAAAAAGGATTTTAAGTCAATATAATGCAAAAATAGAACTAAACAAAGTTGGGACAGGTACTCTCAAGAGGTAGCAGATTCTCTGTCACTAGAGGTGGCCATTTAAACTAGATGACTTTGTGGGAGTGTGATAGGGTTGATTCACAAATATGATTCTTTTCAGTCATGAAGTTCTTTTTGTTTGTTTGCTTGTTTGTTTGCATAGCTCTTTATTAGCCTGGCATGTAAGACTGATCCACTTGTCCAGCTTTCCCTCCCAATATTCGTATGTGTCCCTGGTATTTCTCGTATCTACAATTTCCCTGACTTGAAGTTTCCCCTTTTAAAATTTCATGCCATTTTTCAGCGGTCAAATCGTATGTCACTTTTTGAGAAAAATTTCCCTTCTCCCCACTTCAGATACCACCACAAATAGATAGGTTCCATTCCAAAACTGCAGACTTCATTTATGCATTTTAAGTCCCTTATTATTCTGCCCTATGTTATTTGTGTATATTTATTATCTTACGTACTAGCATGTCAGCTTCATGAGGACAGAAATTGTCTCTGTATTGTTAGATCCCCTATAAGACCTAGTATAACAGAATTTTTTTATTTTTTTCAACAAATCTTTTTCTTTAGAATGAAAATACTATACTAACCTCTTAGGGGCCTTCCAACTTAAAAAAAGGTGTATTAATCTGGTCCTAGAACTTATTTCATAATTAATAATACAAAATACCCCATCATCCCCATATTGACTATGTGTACAAACAGTCAGATATACCAATGTCAAACTGGTTCTGTAAGAAAGTGTTTAAAACCAGACTTCAAAAGGTAGATAACTCACATGCTGATTGGTAGTAGGATTGCGCCTGTGAATAGCCACTGTACTCTGGCCTGGGCAACATAGTAAGATCCCATCTTAAAAAAAGGGTAGATAACTATTTTTCAAATGCTTTTGCAACATTCCTATTGAGATACTCAGCACACATGTTCCTGATAGAATTTTGAATATTAAAGGAATTGTACATCTGGTTATATTCTTATGAAATTAACTGACACTAAATCAAGTGCTCCACAAAGTTGAAGATAGTATAATTAAGAACATCATCAATGAAGTAAGCAATGAACCCTGGCAAACCTTCACAAGGGGAACATCTTATTGTGATGTATCAGAAATTTTTACCACTCACCTCTACCATTTCTTCCTGAACTTTATAGTCTTACAGAACATTTCCATTGCTGCAGGTTTCTGTTTGGCAAATTGCTGCCAGTGCTCCAGATGTTTTTCAGTATGAATTTATAGAAACGTGCATTGTACAAAATTCAAAGGAAGGGCTGTTAGAATAGGTTAGATAAAACAAGAAGAAAACCAGAGCAACTGACATTGAAAAATAAGCATGAATTATTCATTTGTTTTAGCTGATTGTTTTTTTTTTCTCTCTCTCTCTCCTCTTCCCATCTGCCTTTAGTTCTCCACTGACTGAAATTAGCAGGGACTAAAAGTCGTATCACAAGTTGACATGCTTAACTGTAGCCTCCAGAAAAATCCAAATGTATTGGAGTCTAACGGCAGTTACATCAGATCAGAAGTAAGAGTTTTCACTCTTGGTGTTTCTTGAGAAGTAAACTTCTGGATCTTTTGACTGTCCGCAATTAAAAGCCCTTTAGAAAAATTCCCAGAGAAAGCTCTTTCATGTGGGTCTGAGGCAGTTGTGGACTTGCCAAGAAAAGGAAGTCCTATGACTTCCTGACCATGTCAGCACTTGGGGATTTAACAAAAAATCAATTATTTCCCACTAGGTACATTTTGGGCTTTCTGCTACTTTGCCCTTTTCTCATGTCCCCTTCCTTCTCCACCTAAACAGAAGAAAGTCAATACAATGTGATTGAAGAACAGTCAGCAGGAAGGTTGAGATTTTTTTTTCCTTTCTTTCTTTTTTCTTTGGGTGCATGCCCCCTAAAGAAATAAAAGAAAGAAAAGAAAAATTTAAGATTAACAAATTGCAACCAGAGTTATGCTGCCTAATTACAGGTCTGATTTCATGCTTTTCTGAGAGATTTATGAAGAGGCTAAAAGATATTAAATTATAGCCCAGTCAGTACCCCTTCTTTCTGGTACGATTAATTAATTAAGAAAAATTTCTAAATATTAAAAAAGCATGGCTAGACATAATCACATTTTCTGGCATTATAACCTAAAACATGGCTTATAACATTATAAAGTAGGCATTAAGACTTTTTGGTAGAAAAGTTGTAATTAACAATAATTTATTGTACATTTCAAATAGCTAGAAGGAAATATTTGTAATATTTCCAACACAAAGAAATGATAAATGTTTAAGGTAATGGATTTACCAACTACCCTGATATAATCATTACACATACAGGTATCAAAATACTAAATGTACCTCCAAAATATGTACAACTATTATATATTGATTAAAAAGTAAATAAATAAATTAAATAAGTCAAAGAAAAGGATTAACTTATTTTGCAGCAATTGTGAAGCATAAGGTGATGGTTGCGTATTGATTTTCTTTCTTTATAAACTTGTATCTTGTGTTCCAAAAGCTTTGTTTTAGAATGGAATCTTCTCTGGGATTAAAAAAAAATTTTTATTTTAATTTTTGTGGGTACATGGTAGGTACATATATTTGTGGGGTACATGAGATGATTTGATACAGGCATGCAATGCTTAAAAAACACATGTAAAATGGGGTATCCATCCCCATCGCCTCAAGCATTTATCCTCTGAGTTACAAACAATCCAAATATACTCTTTAAATTATTTTAAAATGTATAATGAAATTATTATTGACTATAGTCAACCTGTTGTGCCATCAAATATTAGGTCTTATTCATTCTTTCTAACTATCTTTTTGTTCGCCCATTAACCATCCCTACCTCCCACAACCCCCACCATCCCACTACCCTTCCCAGCCTCTGGTAACTCTACTCTCTAACTTCTAAGATCAACTGTTTTGATTTTTAGATCTCACAAATAAGTGAGAACATGCAATATTTGTCTTTCTATGCTTGGCTTATTTCACTTAGCATAATGATCTCCAGTTCCATCCATGTTGTTGCAAATGACAGGATCTCATTCCTTTTATGGCTGAATAGTACTCCACTATGTATAGTACCACATTTTCTTTGTCCATTCATCTGTTTTTTTTTTTCTTTTTTTTTTTTTTTTTTTTTTTTTGAGACGGAGTCTTGCTGTGTCGCCCAGGCTGGAGTGCAGTGGCGCAATCTCGGCTCACTGCAAGCTCTGCCTCCCAGGTTCACGCCATTCTCCTGCCTCAGCCTCCTGAGTAGCTGGGACCACAGGCGCCCGCCACTGCGCCCAGCTAATTTTTTCTATTTTTAGTAGAGACGGGGTTTCACCATGGTCTCGATCTCCTGACCTTGTGATCCGCCCGCCTCGGCCTCCCAAAGTGCTGGGATTACAGGCGTGAGCCACCGCGCCCAGCCCCATTCATCTGTTGATGGATACTTAGGTTGCTTCCAAATTTTGGCTATTGTGAACAGTGCTCCAACATACATGGGAGTGCAGATATCTCTTTGATATACTGATTTCCTTTCTTTTGGGCATATACTCGGCAGTGGGATTGCTGGATCATATGGTAGCTCTATTTTTATTTTCTTGAGGAATAGCCAAACTGTTGTCCATAGTGGCTGTACTAATCTACATTCCCACCAAAAGTATACCAGGGTTCCCTTTTCTCCACATTCTCACCAGCATTTCTTATTGCCTGTCTTTTGGATAAAAGCCATTTTAACTGAGGTGAGAAGGTATTTCATTGTAGTTTTGGTTTGCATTTCTCTGATGATCAATGATGTTGAGCGTTTTTTCATATGCCTGTTTGCCATTTGTAAGTCTTCTTTTGAGGAATGTCTATTCAAATCTTTTGCCCATTTTTGATCAGATTATTAGACTTTTTCCTATAGAGTTGTTTGAGCTCCTTATATATTCTGGTTATTCATCTCTTGTCAGATGGACAGTTTGCAAATATTCTCTCCCATTCTGTGAGCCATCTCTTCACTTTGTTGATTGTTTCCTTTGCTGTGCAGAAGCTTTTTAACTTGATGTGATCGTATTTGTCCACTTCTGCTTTTGTTGACTGTGCTTCTGGGATATTACTCAAGAAATTTTTGCCCAGACCAATGTCCTGGAGAGTTTCCTCAATGTTTTCTTGTAGTAGTTTCATATTTTAAGATTATAGATTTAAGTCTAATTCATTTTGATTGTGCTTTTGTATATGGTGAGAGATAGGGATATAGTTTCATTATTCTGCATAGGAATATCCAGTTTTCCCAGCACAATTTATTGAAGAGACTGTCTTTTCCCCAGTGTATGTTCTTGGCACCTTTTTCAAAAATGAGTTCACTGTAGGTATGTGGATTTGTTTTTCAATTCTCTATCCTATTCCATTCATCTATGTGTCTGTTTTTATGTCAGTACCATCCTGTTTTGGTTACTATAGCTCTGTAGTATAATTTGAAGTCAGGTAACATGATTCCTCCAGTTTTGTTCTTTTTACTTTGCATAGTTTTGGCTATTCAGGGTCTTTTGTGGTTCCATATAAATTTTAGGGTTGTTTTTTCTATTTTTGTGTAGAATGTCATTGGTATTTTGATAGGGATTACACTGAATCCATAAATGGCTTTGGGTAGCATGGACATTTTAACTATATTTATTCTCCCAATCCATGAACATGGAATATGTTTCCACTTTTTGGTGTCCACTTCTATTTCTTTCATCAGTGTTTCATAGTTTTTGTTATAGCACTCTTTCACTTCTTCAGTTAATGTCTAGGTATTTAATTTTGATTTCTGGCTATTATAAACAGGATTTTTTAAAATTTCTTTTTCAGATTATTCACTGTTGGCATATGAAAATATTACTGATTTTTGTATGTTAATTTTGTATCCTACAACTTTATTGAATTTATTTAGCAGTTCTGATAGTTTTTTGGTGGCGTCTTTAGATTTTTCCAAATTTAAGATTATATCATCTGCAAACCAGGATAATTTGACTTCTTCCTTTCAAATTTGGATACCCTTCATTTCTTTCTCTTATCTGATTGCTCTAGTTAGGACTTCTTCCAGTACTACGTTAAATAACAGTGGTAAAATACTTGTTGTGTTCCAGATCTTAGAGGAAAGGCTTTTTTATTTTCCCCATTCAGAATGATAGCAGCTGTGGGTCTGTCGTATTTGGCTTTTATTATGTTTAGGTATGTCCCTTCTATACTCAGCTTTTTTAGGGTTTTTATCATGAGGGGATGTTGAATTTTATCAAATGTTTCCTGAGCATCATTGAAATGATCTTTTTTTTTTTCCTTTCATTCTATTGATATGATGTATCACATTGATTGATATGAAAATGTTGAACCATCCTTGTATCCTAGGGATAAATCCCACTTGGTCATGATGAGAGATCTTTTAAATGTGTTGTTGAAGTTGGTTTGCTGACATTTTGTTGAGGACTTTTGCATCAATATTTGTCAGAGATATTGGCCTGTAGTTTTCATTTTTTAATGCGTCTTTGCCTAGCGAAGACACAGTAGTAATTAATAATACTGGCCTCGTAGAATGAGTTTGGAAGTTTTCCCTCCTCCATTTTTCAGAATAGTTTGAGTAGGATTGGTATTAGTTCTTCTTTAAGTTTTTGATAGAATTCATCAATGAAGCTGTTGGGTTCTGAGCTTTTCTTTACTGGGAGACATTTTTTTTTTAATGGCTTCAACCTTATTACTTGTTATTGATCTATTCAAGTTTTGGATTTCTTTCTGGCTCAATCCTGGAAGGTTACATATGTCCAGTTAACTTGTCCATTTCTTCTAGATATTTCAATTTATTGGTATATAGTTGCTCATAGTAACTACTAATGTTTTTTTTTGTTTCTGCAGTATCAATGTTAATGTTTCCTTTTTCATCTCTGACTTAATTTATTTGGATCTTCTCTTTTTTTCTTAGTCTGGCTAAAGGCCTGTCAATTTTGTTTAACTTTTCAAAAAAACAACTTTTTGATTTATTAATTTTTTGTATTGTTTTCTTTTCAATTTCATTTGTTTCTGCTCTGATCTTTATTATTTCTTTTCTTGTACTAATTTTGGGTTTGGTTTGCTCTTACTTTTCTAGTTCTTTAAGATGCATCATTGGACTGGTTATTTGAAAATTTTCTTCTTTTTTTGATGTAGGCACTTATAGCTAAAAAAAATTCCCTCTTAGTGCTATATTCCATAGGTTTTTGTATATGTGTTTCTATTATTTGTTTCAAGAAATTTTTCAATTTTCTTTTTAATTTCTTCGTTGACCCACTGGTCATTCAGGAGCATATTGCTTAATTTCTATGTTGTATTAGTCTGTTCTCATGCTGCTAATAAAGACATACCCGACACTGGATAATTTATAAAGGAAACATGTTTAATGGCCTCACATTTCCACATGGTTGGGGAGGCCTCACAATCATAGCAGAAGACAAAGGAATGGCAAAGGTTGTCTTACATGGTGGCAGGCAAGAGAGCATGTGTAGGGGAACTCCCTTTATAAAACCATCAGATCTCCTGAGATTTATTCACTATCACAAGAACAGTATGAGAAAAACCCACCTCCATGATTCAATTACTTCCCACCCAGTTCCTCCCACGACACGTGGGGATTATTACAATTCAAGGTGAGACTTGGGTGGGGACACACAGCCAAACCATATCACATGTATTTGTATAATTTCCAAAATTTCTCTTATCATTAATTTATAGTTTTATTCCATTGTGATCATAGAAGATGCTAGACATTGTTTCAATTTTTTTTGAAAGTTTTAAGATTTGTCTTGTGACTTAACATATGATCTATCCATGAGAATGATCCATGTGCTGAAGAAAAGAATGTGTATTCTGCAGCCATTGGGTGAAAAGTTCTGTAAATATTTATTAGATCCTTTTGGTCTAC